ATTTCTATTCTTAGTACAGAAAAAGAATAGAAATGCGTTTGGTAACTACACAAAATTTCATTTTATTGTTAATATTTTAATAATATTTTGAATTTTTTAATATTTCTTTCTTTTTTTTTCTTTCTTTCCCTTCCCTTCCTTGGCCATGGCCAGTCGCCGGCGTCGGCGACTGGCCACAGGCCAAGGCCGGCGAAGGCATCGTGACCCTTGCTGCCGGCCTTGCCTTGGTTGGGCGAGGACTCGCCGTCGCCGCCGCGAGCCGCCCTCGCCAACCCTGGCCTGTCGGCGACTGGCCACAGGCCAAGGCCGGCGAGGGCATTATGACCCTTGCCGCCGGCCTTGCCTTGGTTGGGCGAGGACTCGCCGTCGCCGCCGCGAGCCACCCTCGCCGGCCCCGGCCTGTGTCCGGTCGCCGGTGGCCAGTGGGTGGCGGGCGGCAGGCCGAAGAACAACAACAAACCCAAAAAAAGAAGAAAATCAAGAAGAATCAGAAATGGAAAAATTGTTTCAGAATCAAGAAATTACCTTTTTTTGTTTCTTGATTCTGTTCTAAAACTAATTCTGAGAACATTTTTTTGCAAAATTGTGCCCGGACACAAAAAATTTAACAAATAGATTTCTGCTCCCAAACTAATTCTGAAAACAAAAGAGCAAAATTTTTTACTATTTAGCAAGTTGCCAAACATGCCCTAAGTAACTTGGAACAAATCCTTGCCTGCAGGCACAGAGTCATGATTTAAACATCCAAAGAAAAATAGGTTCATAAGAAAATAAATTATGATTAAGGCGTTGTGTATTTCGTAGAAAAAAATATTCCGAGAAAACATTTTGCGGTGTTTGGATTGCTTAGGAAAATGAGTCAACAAAAAATATTTTCCTAGTCAAAGGAAAAATGTTTTTTCCTAGGAACAAGATTTTCCTATCAAAACTTAAATTCAGAAAGATGATTTCCTCTTAAAAAGATCGAAAATCATTTTCCAAACTATGACTTGGTTCAGCGCTTGGATTAGAAATTCTGCGCATGGGCATAGGAACTCCAACGCTAGTTCCTGAGCCTTTGGCAAGACCCGGCCCTCAAGCCTTTCTCCTTTGAGGCCAAGCCCGGGTCCATCCAGGCCGCGCTCGAGTCCATCAAGGCCGAGCCCAGGACCTCGGTGCCCGTGTTCGGGTCCCCTGTGCCCGCGCCCGAGTTCATCAATGCCTAGCCCGAGTTCGAGTGCTAGGGATCGGGACTTGACCTCGATGGACTTAGGCATGGTCACCAAGGTCTTAGGCCTGACCTTAATGGACTCGGGTTCAGGCGTAGGGGACCAAGTCTCGAGTGCTAGGTTTGAGGCCCGACCTCAATGGACCTAGGCGGGGGCATCGAATTTGGAGTCCTGAGCCTGGCCTCGATTAACCTACGCTTAGGAGCCAAGATCCTGATCCTAGGTGCTAGGTTTTCGGGCCTAGGTCTTATCGAGGCTTGACCTCTATAAACCAGGGCCAGGGTACCAGGGAGCCGAGCACGAGCATCGAGTTCTTGGGCACGATTTCGATGGATCCAAAAGCAGTGCTCGTGTTTGGAAGTTAGGGATTTGGGCTTGAGACCTTAGTGCCCGTGCCGGATTCTTTAGCTACCCATGCGCAAGTCATTAAAGCCTGAATAGTGTATGTTTATTTAGGAAAATCCTTACCAAATGATGGAAAATATTTTCTGGTTCATTTCAGGTTTCAGCCAAACACCGGAAAATATTGTCATTTTCCTAAAAAATTGCTTTTCAGAAAACATTTTTCAGAAATGTCACATTTTCCGCAAAACAAACCGAGCCTAATGCAAATTGTCACGTCCTTGCACATCGATTAAGATAGGAAGAGGCGCATATGTACCTTTTAATTTTCAAGGAATGCCTATTCCACGTGACGAAAGACTCTAAATTTTTTCTTTTTTAATTCAGAGGTACGAGCGCATATGTCCAAATACTTGAAGAACCATAAAACACGTTGCAAGTCCCACAAACTAATTAGCCTTTGCCCTTAATCGGAAGAACCTAAGTGAAAGATCAATCGTTGATTTTTCTTTCTCTCGGTTAAAAAATATCTTTGATTTTCCTCGAGTCATGACCCCGACCCTTGTCTAATCTCAACGGTGAGAACTATTGAGGAATCGGTAAATAAGCCATTACAATCAACAATGATCAATACATATAGGGTCGATATTGATGAGTTTTTAAATCTATCGCGCGACAATAGTTCTATGTACGGAGAAGATTATCAACAAAGACCAATATGTTGCTATCGGAGTACCATGGAGAAAGTATCATACGCATCTATCTATCTTACGTATCATTGACGGATGGGAATAGGGAGTCAATCAACAATTTACTATTTTCCTCAAAATTCAAACCGAAAAGTAAATTCTATACTACTATATAAAGAGAATAGTCGAATTTGGTATTACACCCTAGAAAGACACTATGACTTTGTAATTATCTTCACGCATACCGCGTGCTTCTCCATCTCAGCGTAACACATTTTCACTCTTGAAAATACCAAAAAGAAAGGAAGAAAAGTATAGAATTGACATGAGTCAATGAACAGATGTAGACTTGTTGAGGCGTACGCGACATCATCTCTTGGTCACGGACGACATCTCACCAACAACTTGAAATCTTGAGTTAGCAAAGTACAAAAGTAATAACCGTTGAAAAATTAGGGGTAGTAGTACAAATAATACACCGGTTCAAACACGCAAGAAACCGAAATTATTTTCGATTCATGTACATCTGAGCTCATTCCGATGGGAAAACCTAATCATATTCCGATGTCTATATGCATGATTGGTGAACATACGGATTGTCCGAATGCACTATTGAATCGATAGTAAGAGTTTATCATCTAATATAATTGTCCGAAAGCAACCTTAACTATCTCGTGATGCTGTATACTCTATGATCTTGGAACTTTGAAGCAGCCTCCTCCCACGTAATCCAAAACAGTCGCGATACATAACACCACAGTTGGCGCAAGAGGGCTAAAAGATAATTAATCTTTCGTTTCCATCATGGCCATCTAAAAGTGTACATGTTTCTCGATTTGATTACACCTAGATGTATAGCTACTTTAATGGTGGACCTAAACCACTTCTTAAACGCAAACTTAGACTTCTTTAATATATTCGATATTTAATAAGTTATCTGTTGGAATCGACTGCAATCTCCATGATTGATTAAAGTTAATGCACGCACTTGTCATCACTAGTACATTGCTAAACCGACACTGATGGTACGTTTGCACTTTATCTTTCTCTTAACTTTCCTCTCTTCTCCACTTATAGTTGGATGCATGGAGAAAAAGTGATAAACCAGCTTTAAAATTGTCTCAAGAACGTACAATTAATCGATCACATTTTACGCGGATAATCATAGTCAAATATAAGGAAAACCCTAGATATTATGGATAAGGAAGAATGCTTTAGTTTAGAAGATCTTTCCCTCAAGCCTTCAAGTCCGTTCAATTTACTCCAATGCATAACGCCGAAATCTGTGATCATTTGAGTTTCTTCTGAAGAATGCTTAGTCCCAAAAGTATGTTGATGAGGACTTCTGTATAAGATGTTTGCTCTATTTAACGGAATAGTGTTCTTTTTCCCAAAAGGAAAAGAGAAGAACAGAACTTGTCAATTAGGAAGTGACATGTTTAAAAAAAAACATGCACCGCTGAGTATCTAAAAAGCGTAAATTGTTGGAAAAGTGCCGATGATACTTACATCAAACAACTTCTATGAGATTTGACAATAGAAAGCAACCCTTTAGAAGCATCAAATAACTTGCACAAGGAAAGAGTCTTGTGAGACGAAGACGCATTGGTGATTAGGGTTTACAAGAGCGATTTTTTTTCGGGTGAACATCAAGCATAAAATTTATACATGCGGCGACATGGTATTTGGGGCAGGCGACGGTAGCACAACCCGGAATTGAGAATCCTCAAACCATGCAAAAGAGTCTCTCTCTCTCACACACACACACGATTATCCAACCAAAGAGACACAGTGGTTCGTCTCGAAATCAAGAAAGTGATATCGATGTCGCTGAATAAACATGCTCGCGGACTTAATTTGTATCAGTAACATTTGCTCCCTTATTACTAAAAGCTTTAGGTACATTTAGCAGAAGGTCAGTGTATCCGTACCCCCATGCTTTCATGTCTAAAAGTGAGCTCAGCCCGTACTAGGGTTTCCTAAGCGCATTGGATCTTGCCTTTTTCCAACTATCTCACAACCACACGCAAGATTTTACACCATAGACTATCTTAAAGAGGGAGGTTGGGTTGGCTTGGAGTGTACTCCGCATGGAGTTCCCAAAAACTATTCATCTGCTTTATATCCAAAAAAACTCTCGCATTCCACCACACAAAAGAAATAAAATAATATGAAAAAGAAAAAGGAGAAAGAAGAGAAAACCTAATCAAGAGAGAATATAAGAAAAAGGTGGGTAAAGGACAAGGAGATATTTTAATAAAGGTGGGGATTCAATGAATGCCAAGTGACCATCTCCTAAACTTTCTCTTCCTGTTTTCTCTCTCTCTATTATTATTATCGTTTGGCCCCTCCTCGACCTCAAGTGGAGAAGTCGACATTTCCTCGTTTTTCAGCTCTTCCCATCACCTCCACGACCCCACAAACTTCATCTTCTTTCTCCCCTCCCCCCCCCTCTCTCTCTCTTTCGAATTCCTGATGAGACGTGCTAAATTTCATCAGATGATTTTGAAAGAAAGAAAGGGTCAAGCCATAGAAAATTATCTTCGTCTTCTGTATCCATCTGCTTGTACCTAACGGAGACTGTGCGGTACTGATTCTTGGATGCAACTTCTCTCTCTTTCATCAAATAGATAGATTATTCCATAACGCCATCGGACCGAACTTCTTTTCTTTTTCTTTTTTCTTTTAAAAACGCGACGTGGGCAATCAATCACGATGAATAAATATGTGGAGTCTTAGGTGTATGTACGAGTACCAGTAGTTTTTACCCTCATGTGAAAATAGTTGGGTAATATTTTTGTCTAGGGTAAATCATTGCATTCAACAGTCAACTGTTGCAGTTTCTTCATTCTGTATCATCTTTGAGAGGAAATAAGTACCCCTCTTTATTAGATGCAAACTCTGCTTAAACAATCATTTTTGTCACCAGAGAGAGAGAGAGAGAGAGAGAGAGAGAGAGAGAGCCTGCAGAAACCCAAGAGAGTCTCTGACAAAGAAAAGATTTGCTCATCTTTCTCCATCTCATGATCATGTGAAAGAGAAAGACACACTTTGATGGATCTGGTTCGAGACACACACACACACATATTTATATTTCATTCTCTCGTGTGTTTATCTTTTTACCCATTATTGGCTTTTGTACTCTCTCTCTCTGTCTCTGCAACCTCCTTTGATGGTGGATTCCTCCTATAAATACATCCGCTCTTCTCACTCCTCGTCTTTTCTCCACGTTCGTCACCTGTGATTTGCTGAAACCCTCTCTCTCTACCTCTCTCCGAGGCTTCAGTTTCAAGAATTTCAGCAGCATATCAAGATGGGATGTTTGTCATTGCTTCCAAAAAGTTGTTGATTGAGTAAGAGATCAAACAAGAGTGTGCAGATCTCGAGATCGAGTCCGTACTTGCTTTGCACTTTCTTGACAGTGGATATTATTTTCAGACCCAACTCCTCTCTCGGAATCTCATGGCGACGTACTTTCATGGGAGCTCCGAAATCGAAGCCACTGACGGCTTGCAGACACTTTACATCTTGAACCCTAGCTTCATCCCCTACTCCAGCGCGGCCCACGACGCCAGCGCCCCCAATACCCTCTTCTTGAATCCTATGGGGAGTGCCACACAACCAGCTCACGCTCCACCGTTGAACCACAACCACTTCGTCGGGATTCCGCTTTCCGGACCCGCAGCACCGTTTGGACCTGCTGGATCGGACGTAGACCTCTCTCGTCTGCACGAGATTCCGTCCCTTCACAGCGTAGCTCCAAGGGTTCGGCCTAACCACCCATGGGGTCAGCCAGATACATCGGCTGCCTCCGCAGACCAGCTCCAGATTTGCTCGGCGACCAACTCCGCTGGGGTCTCACCCTCTCAGCGCGGCCTGTCTCTGAGCCTCTCCACGGAGCAATCGTCGCTCATGTCGCTCTCAAGGGAGAGCGACATCCGTGGGCACAGCCACCATCAAGTTTTGGGGGTCAACAAGGAAAGGGTGTCGGCGCGGAACTCATCCTCGTCGGTCTCGAACGTGGTCTTGGGCCTGCACGGCGTCCTTCTGGGGTCAAAGTACTTGAAGGCGGCGCAAGAGCTATTGGACGAAGTCGCTCATGTCGGGAAAGAGATGGAGAATCGCTCATCAGCTGAGGGTGCTAATAAAGAGAAAACTAAACTCGGTAACAAGGATTCAAGTAAGGACGAGAAAAAAGTTGAATCATCATCAAGTGGGAGTGAGCTCGGTATGGCTCAGAGACAGGAGCTTCAAATGAAGAAGGCCAAGCTTGTTGACATGCTGGATGAGGTATACATAACATATGTACATATGTGCAATCGCAATATAGTATGTTTCTCAAAGGTATTTAGCTTGACTACATGTGAATAGTGAATCCTTAGATATCTGTATTATTGGAGATTGGCGTGAAGCGTATGGGGTGATGCATAAGTTGTTGTTAAACGGTTTTTTGGGTCATTGTCAAGCTAATCATGCCTAATCACTTTGTAAGATCTCAATTGAGAAGAATGTCCTGCTGAAACTCCAAAGTGGTTTAACTGAGAAACTGATATAGTGTTAGATTGCTAGCTAGTTTCTGATACTACACCACAATGAAATATTCAATTTTTGCTAGTTTTCTACTCTCTCTCTCTCTCTCTCTCTGAGTTTCAGTCTGTCTTCTAAACATTCCTACTGCCAAAGTGCTAGTGATAGTTTTGGAGACAATGATCAAGGCATTATGATTGTCTAGCTACCTAGCCTTTAGGTATTTTCTCTCTAAAAGCATTCCCGTTCGTTCTTGACATTTAGCTTATGAAATGACAACACAAAATTGTATGACCATTATTCGATACCTTGTGTACAAGCAGTGGAAAAAAAAATATGTTCACTAATTAGATTAAGTCAGTCATCCGTATGCATATTCTTAGTCATTGTATTGATCATATTCGGTGGATATTATGGGATCCATAATAATATTGTCACATTTGTGTGGGCATTCATTTCTCTACCCTGCACATATACAGAAAAGATTTCCTTCTTATTCACTTCCTTTTCATTTACTTTTTCCTTATGAACCATGAAGGTGGAGCAGAGATACAAACAATACCACAACCAGATGCGACTAGTAGTCTCCTCGTTTGAGCAAGCCGCTGGCATCCGTGCAGCGAAATCGTACACCGCCCTGGCCCTGCAGACGATATCCAGGCAGTTCAAGTGCCTCAAGGATGCTATCTCATCGCAGATCAAGGCCACAGGCAGGAGCTTAGGCGAGGATGACTGCATGGGCGCAAAAATGGAGGGCTCGAAATTGAGGTACGTCGACCATCATTTCCAACAGCAAAGGGCACTTCACCAGCTGGGAATGATCCATCAGAACAACACTTGGAGACCGCAACGAGGACTGCCGGAGCGCGCCGTTTCAGTGCTTCGCGCCTGGCTCTTCGAACACTTCCTCCACCCGTAAGTACCTTGATCTAGCTCAGTTTATTACCCTAAAAGACATACGTCCGAAGGTAATTTCGATCAACTCTAGATCATAAGAGTAATTTAAACCATGTTCATGGTCAACGACCACGCTTTATGTTTGTGTTTCGATTGTGCATTCAACATTCCGGCTTGTTGCAATCGCAGCTATCCCAAAGATTCGGATAAACACATGCTCGCAAAACAAGCGGGACTAACCAGGAGCCAGGTACGTAATGAACGGGTCCAACTCAAGATCATAATCTTCTTACAAGTTTCCAGTTGGATTGACTATGCATCCCATTCTCGTATATTTTCGAATTTTCCGTGAAGCTTGTATACAGAACAGTGAATGCGACTCGAAATTACAGGTGTCTAATTGGTTCATCAATGCTCGGGTTCGCCTCTGGAAGCCCATGGTCGAAGAAATGTACTTGGAAGAGACCAAGAGCCGAGAACAAGCTGGGTCTGAGAACGGCACGATTCGCAGGGCCGCCACCAAAACCAACAAGGACGCCGGTTCAAAATCCATATCGCAAGAAGACGATGCTTTTGGAATGAACAACTCCATCAAATCCTTCCAATCAAACCCGAATAAGGCCCTCAATCGAGCCACCATTTCGCCCTCTGAGAACTCCAACTCAACCTCCTCGACGTCTCCCATGGCCTGCTCTATCCCTCCGCCTCCCGGCTTCACTCTGATCGGACCGTCATCCAACATAGAAGCCGGGATTGCCCCAAGTCCTAAAAAGCCGAGGATGAGCCCCAACTTGATGAATCCGCATGGTATCATTCTCTCAAGGGACATGGACATGAAGGGGGGTGAGCCGAGCCGAGGGCTCAGTGCCGGCGCCGGCGGCGGCCACGAGTACGTCCATGGTGGGTTCGGCGCATTCTCAATGGGAAACATCGAAGGGAGATACGGGAACGGCGTCGCTCTCACTCTCGGCCTACCGCATGGGGATCAAAGCCCTTCACTCTCAGTCTCAGCAACCCCACAGAATTATTTCCCCAACCAAAGCATGAATAATCATCAACTGGGAAGGACTAAACTTGTGGTGGGAAATGGTGGTGAGGCTGATTTCTTCGGGATTGCTGGTGCTCCACAACCATCTCAATCGGGCTCAATAAATTATGAGGCCATCGACATCAGCAACAGGAAAAGATTTGCAGCCCATCTGTTGCCTGATTATGTTGCTTGATCGATAGCATCAAGATAAAGATCTGATGACGATGCAAATCTCTCCAATTGTTTAATGGGCAATTTATTGCTTGCCCATAACCATGGAGGTATCTTTCTGTACGATATATATCATAGAGATAGAGATTGGTTGAGACAGAAGAGATTAGTGTAAATGAACAAGTATTGTAGTAATATACATGCAAAATAGGAAGCTTTCCAGAGTTTTCTCGGAGCTCAGATTATATATATATTCGAAGGATTGTGGATGTTCAAATGTTTTGATCGCTTTGCAGATGAACGCGACGAATAATGCAATTGGAGACGTATACTTAGGAGTTAATTAATGTAGTACTATACTTTGTATTTAATCTGTCTCCTACATCACTGCGAGATGGCATCGGCATCATAAGTTTAGCTTAGTTTAAATCATCTGATTAATTATTCTGCAGAGAATTCCATGCAAGAAGATCGAGTTCGTAGTTAGGATGGTGGAATTCACATCATTTATAACTACGTACTATATTTGCTATGCTACCATTGTCGTTGGGGAGTCCATATATGCATATGCTATTGTTTTGCCATTCGATGCTCTTACTATTATTGATAGCCTCGAAATGGAACCGAGAGTTCGACCGTCGTCTCGACAGAGTATTTTATGTACGGGTCATATCGTTAATGTTGTGTACTAAATAAAACCCGATATCCACGTGGCATGAATCCCTAACCGATCTATATTAGGAAAGTTAAATGAGTTGGAGAGAGGAGTCAATATTGAAAGTTTGGAAATCTTAAGCTTTTCGGCCATTTGGGATAGAACATCTGATATCATTTTCTTGAAAAAATTAGCAAAAATTTTGATTTTTAAAATTTAAAATTTTTATATATTTTTTTTCTTTTTCCTTCTTCCTCGGCTGATCGCTGACCTAGGAAAGAGATGAGCTTGCCCAAGGCTGGTGAGGCTCGACCTCCCCAGTTTTCGGCGATCTCGAGCCTCGCCCGAGTCGACAGAGCCTCACCGACCTCTAGCAACCTCGGGACAGGCTCGAGCCTCACCTAGATCACCGGCCTTGAGCAAGCTCCACCTTGCCACATCTAGCAAGGTGGAGCCTTGCCAGAGGCTGACAAGGCTCAAGCTCGTCAAAATTTGGCGAGGTCAATCCTCTTCGACCTTGGGCAAATTCATCCCTTGCTTGTGGTCGATCACCGTCATCGCTGTGGTGGGCGACTGGCGAGGAAGTAGCAAAATGAAAAAGAAAAAAAAATTCGTTTTTTTCTGAAATTTTTTTTATTAGAACGAATGTTTCATTAACTAAAAACTCGAGCACGGCCTTTATGCACCTAGGCCCGAGTGTCGGGGCATCGAGCATGGGCACTAGGGCTTCGGGCCCGGCCTCGAAGGACCCAAGCCCGGGCATCAGAGAGCTGTTCGTGAAGTCGAGGACCCAAGAACTAATGTTGAGGTTTTCGTGTCTAAGCGTAGAGTTTCCGGGCCAAGCATCGACATTGTCATATTTTGAAAAATGTTTTTCAATTTTTCAAAAAGAAAATCATTTTCGAGAATTTAAGCATATGTTTTCCGTTGATTTGGAAAACATTTTCCGTTGATTCATTTTTCTAAGCGAACCAAACGCCGGAAAATGAGGACAAAGAAAAAAAATTTTCCGAAAAATATTTTTTGCAAACGTAGCCATAATTTACTTTTTCTTTCTCTAGCTTCAAACCTAAAGATTTTGATATGGTACACTCAAGCTATTTATTTATTTATTTATTTTTATACAAACAATATTCGTAAGCTTTTAACCAAAAAAAAAAAAAGCAATCTTCGTACGCTAGGTGAAGAACGATGAGTAGACAAAGGAGGACATATCCACGAAACTTTGAGCTTAATGTCTCAAAGAATGATTACATTAATTAAACCTAATTAATCCTGTAGTTTAATCAGTTCCTTGTTGACTGGGCTCTCCGTTCCAATTGTAACATTTGGACTAGTCTGGCCCGTTAAAGAAAACCCATTTTTCTTGGATCCACCCTCGAATTTTCTCCTCTCTTTTAGCACATCGTGAAAACTAGTTTATTAAATATTAAGATAAGTACGATTTTGATATGGTACACTCAAGCTATTTATTTTATTTTCATCAGCGAAAAAATTCGGATTTACGGTCTTCTTAATATTTAATAAGCTAGTAAGTACTTTGATAAACCGTTGTCTTCAAAGTTCACGGGTTTACGTGGGTGAAGAAAAGAAGTTAAGAAATTAATGTGGGACTTGTGGGACCCATCAAGTCCTAAACTTTGAGAAATGCACTTGAAGTTGTAGACTTTGTTTATAAAATGCAACCGAGTCCTAAATTTTTCGATTGCTCCAATCAAGTCCCAAACCTTTTCAAAAAGTGCAATGAAGCCTTTTCGATGAACAATACATAAAATTGCATACATGCATGGCTCTCCAAGAGTGCCTATATGGTATCCTTTAATTGCATTTTCCAGTATAAATCTGATTGCATTTTTTACTAAAAGGTTTAGGACTGTATCATGCTTTTAGGTAAAGGTTTAGAACTTGATTCAACCAATTGAAATGTATAGGGCTCGATCACATTCTCTACATGAAGTTCAGGACTCGTGGCACATTTTTTTTTTCCAATATCTTAAAAAGTGCGCAACATAATTGGTGTATTTCGAGATTAGGGTTTTTGAGATTTTTTCTCTAATTTCTATTATATTCTGAGTTTTTTTTTGTCGCTATTATATTCTGAGTTTGACCAATGAATTTATGCTCCTCTTCTTTCCCTTGAGCAGGCCAGTGGGTAAACTATAACTAAAGTAAGAGCCCGGTTATTTCACGAAAAATGAATGATATGGAAAATATTTTCCAAAAGATGATCACTTATCTCGCTCGAAATAATTAATTATGTCTAAACATATTCGTGGACAATGAAATTATTTTTCGTTCATTTACTCTTGTAAGTAATTCAAGCGATCACATTCATTTTCTGCGAAACAAATGCATCCTAAGAATGCATTTTAAATTGAGTCGTAGAAACAAGCTCTAAAAGTTCCTGTAAAGTTTGTGAGGTCTTGAGACTGTTGCTATCAAAAGACTCGACCCATAATACATTCTAACTGGGACTCCATTCTCTTCCAACTGTATTGAGTTGATATTCGTAAGTCAAGTTCAAAATCCACTCCCATTCCAACCAATGTTTCTCGATTGAGCATTTTTATAGTCGTTGAATTCTTGAAGCACGCAAAAAGCACGCTTATTGAAAATCATAGCGGTCTATTGAAAATCATAGCGGTGCTTCTCGTGATTGACGGGTGACACACCGTCCCACAAAATAGAGCATATATATCTAAATTCGTGTGTATAAACAAGTATGTGCAACGAAAGAGAAAAAAGAAATAAAAAATGCCAGAAATCACGCACCGCGTCATTTATCATTAAATTTTCTCATACAGCCATTTAAAATATGATGCCACGTGAAATTTCGCGGCGGACCATTTGCAACGGATCATCTAAATTCCAATCTTGTTCCTCGCCGATGCCGATGTATCGATTGATATCAAGTTGGCAAGTTACTTCTTCGATAATAATGATAATTATTCTTTTTATTACCATCAAAATGAAAGCTGCAATGTTAATGCCTAACGTAGCCTGAAGTGTTTGGTTATTTACCCAAATTCAACAACTAAATATTCGGTCCAACGTGAGAACGAGTCGCGACCCACGAGTTCCTGTCGAGGCACTTTGAATCGATGCAGATGAACGTGCTGTCCTCTGTTGCTCGTCGGTCAAAAAACACGTTGACGCCGACAGTTTCAGAAATTTCCAATCGGTCAACACCCGCTATAGTGTCCCATCACTATTATAATTTTCTTGGTCAACGCTATCTCGTATATATACATATATATGTATATGTATGCTATAGCGTATACTAATCGTGTTGATTTCGATTAATCGATTGATTACGTCATGGTTTAGAAAATAACGCATTTGAATATGGGGAAAATTACGATGGAAATAGATTTCCGGCAACTTATCAAATTGATTTTCGCTCTGACCAACTATTCGTCGAATCATTTTTCTTTATAAATTCGAGCAAAAGTATATCAGACGTATTGAATTTGGAAATAGCGATTGGTGCGTACAGTACCGAGAATTAGGCCAAACACAGATTCATCGAAAGTCAACAAATCATTCTATTGGACCATCGAGGTGAATGTCACTCTAATTTCCCCACATTTTCCAAAGCAACGGTGGAAAATTCTTTGTCAAACATCACTTATCGACATATGTCACAAAATGGAAAAAAAAATATCAGTTTTTGTCAATTACCACGCAATAGGCTCGATATGTTTGATAATTGAGTAAAGCTAGCTAGAATTAAATTGATTGCGAGATCAATTTATTTAACGTGGTGCGAAATTGCAAGTGGGAATTTAAAATTTCGGTCAGATTCAAGGATCAATAACGATTTTTCACATTGCTTTCCAAAATAATTTGTCAATCGATGTTATGTTATTTAGGATTATTCCTAATAATACCTCGGAATGGATAGTTTACAAACAAGTGATAGTGACCTCATTGTTAACCATTTTATATAGTCGTTAGCGATGGTTCCAATCTTGAGGATTTTGCCAAAACAATGTGCGGCACCTCCTGTAATTTGAAAATTCGTTCTAATACCTTAGGTGAGAATATACATTATTTCGAATTATAGATAAAAATGTTAACGTGACCAAAAAGCTTATGAGCCCGACCCGATGGCGTTAATGTGACGCCACATCCATTCTATCTTTGCATATTTCAAAAACAAAATGGATGTATTGAAAAAGACGATAATGAACATCCGACCCTCTTTCATCTCAACACATGAAATTTGACAATTCATCGTCCTCTGACAAAAAGGGATTTTCATTTTTGGGAAATTCCTACTGTAAGTTCACTTTTTCGTAAACTTGCAAGATAGGATTTAATGGGGCGCCACATCAATACCGCATGGTATCCAGATCGCGTTTTCGGCGGCAACAACCATTTTTGACCCATTTTTCGAGATTTAATATTTTTCTATTCATGTATTGCTAACTAATTATAGTTCACAACAATATGGAGTGATTGTCGTGGTGTGTGCATGTAGAAGCCGTAAAGAGTGAACCAAAGTAAGATTTGATTGTCTATGGACATAATAGTAGACTAGTCTCTCGCCAATAAAAAACGCGGAAGGAGCAATATTCAAAAAATTAACTGAAAAAGTACGCTCGCACTAGTAAATTAATTTCGATTAATGTTATATCAATGGTTTTTCCATGTAGTGTTGTCTTCTAGAGTAATTATCGGATTGATATTAAATCTATTATACTAATGCCAATTCAGCTTTAAACTTTTCAATTTTGTCAATTTAATTCTGAATTTTTGTATGACATTTCAATGTAGTGCTTCTGGTCAATTACCGATGTGCATTCAGTCGTCATCGATCGTCCTGCGTGGCAAGCTTATGTGTATAACTTCTCTTGAAACGATGTCCTACGTAATCAGCGATTTCCAGCGGCAATTAGTCGAAAAGACTACATGGAAACTTCGCACAAGATTTAGAACTATATTGGTAAATTCAAAAAGTTTAGGCTGAATTGACATTCGTACAATGGGTGCGGAGTTTTTTTTTCGATCAAATGAAATTTCCATTCATTACCAAAATGATACATGAAAGGATCCATAGTAAATGTCAAAAGTCACCATAACAAGGCAAGCCCATAAAGCTCCAAAACAAACCAAATCAGAGCATGGTTGACAGAGATAATCACACACTTGTCCTTCAAGAATAGATATGTGACTGCATAAATGAAAAGATCGGCAGCTGATCACCGAATCACGCATCATCATTAGTGATGAGCACACGCCAAGATCTCCGTATGTAGTTCCGGCTTTTGTCTTTCGACGGTCTGCGCCTCGGTTCAGGTTGTGAATGACAACCATTCTGTTTCAAAATTTAATTTCTAGCCAAAAATTGATTTTTCTATTTCTATTCCTGGACGAGTTTCTGAGCAAAAAAATACGTTTGACAATGATACAAAATTTCTGTTCCCGAAACAAAATTTTGTTTGATAACGACACAAAATTTCTCTCTCTCGGGTGGCCAGCAAGTGGATAGCGGGGGGAGGCGGCAGTGAATGGTGACGCGGCTAGTGCGGAGGACGGCGACTGGTAACGGGAGGAGGGCAATCGGCGGCAGGAGGGCGGTCGGCGGCGGGAGACATTGGCCAGTGGATAGCGGGCGGCGGCCGGCGGTGGGAGATAGGCGGCGGCCGGCGGTGGGAGATAGGCGGCGGCGGGAGGAGGGCGGCCGGAGGCCGCCGCGATGGCCGACGGACTGCGGTCAGTGGCCCATGGCGGCCAGAGGTGGGTGGCAATCAAAGGCGGGAGACAGTGGCCAGCGGTGGGAGACGGTCGGCGACGAGAGATGGTGGCCGGTGGACGATGGTAAGAGACGGCGAATGGCGGCAAGCAGCGACGGGAGACGGTGGCCGGCGGTGGGAGGCAAGCGGCGGTGAGAGGAGGGCGGCTGGCTACGGGAGACGGTGGCCGGCAATGGGAGGAGAGCGGCTGGCGGCGCGAGACGGCGAATAGCGGGAGGCGGCGACCAGCAAGTGAGCGGCGATGGGCGGCGGGTGGACGACCGGCTAGTAGAGAGGGCGAGCAATGAAATTTTTTTTAACTTTTCATTTCTATTCCAAACATATTTCTAAAATTAAAATTTATTTCAAAAATAGAAAAATGAAATTGTATTACCAAACAAATTTCTGTTTCAAACCTGTTTCTGGAACAAAAAAATAAAAACAAAATGATTATCATTCGCAGCCTCAACGTCCCAACATCATTACCGTATGAGACAACATAAACATATTGAATAAGCTAAAATTCGACACCTGTGAGAGTGAGTCCTTTAGCAAGTGCAATACGCCAAACCTTTTAACAAAAACACATTGAACGAGCACAAATTTGACAACGAAGCTGCTGTGGACACCATTGAAACTGAGGTGGAATACTTATTCATTAAAACTCCTAAATCTAGAAATAATTTGAAGAGAAAAGATCCCAAATCTATAATTGGGAGAGCAAAACTCCTAAATTTAAATCTAGATTGGGAGAGTAAGTAAAGCAACAAGCAGAACTAAAAAGGAAAAGCAACTTGGGAGGGGAGGGAGAGATTTAGGTCAAATCCCTCCCCTTCCAGAGTTGAAGAGACGAAGGCAGAAACTCAGAGAGGAAGAGAGGGGAGGGGGAGCGTTTTACTTACAAAGTCATACGATGGGTACAGAGCTGAATTAGTACTTTTCCCTATTTTTTTCACCGGACACAAACATACCCTTTAAATATACGACACGAAAGTTCAAAATACATGGCGCGCACTAAATAGACAGAATATGACGAGTCCGATAAAATACATCGTTCCGTAATTCACTTCCTCATTGTAATAAAGGCGATTTGCCCTAGACGGAAGATGTGTAAAGCCAAAAAATGCTCGTGCCTTACAAATCAAGTAAAGAATAACTTAAGGGGACAGGTCCAGGCTTGCGTGCTGCCATGTGAATATGATGGTGCATGAATGCGTTACTACTACAAAGTCGCCTCGTATCCATCGCCTAACAAGTCCAAATAAATTTCAGTTGAGTCACAATACCACTTTGCCCACCTAGGTATTCATTCTTACATGAAAACTTTAAAAGCAAGGCCCCGCCTACAAAGTTTTGCCGGTGCTTTGTCTGTTTGAATCCCGAAGTTGCAGAAGAACACGGACACGAGGGTGTTTTATAAAACGCGACCTCCGCGACGATAATGCCTTTGTCGTCTTTCGCCTTGCGACGGCGGGCCCCGAGGAAGAGCCAGTGAGCGGCCGTCACGTGGCGCTGCGGGATCGCCTCGTGAGGAAAATTCGTGGAGGTGGATGTTCGTTCGTATATTGCGCCTCGTGGGGTTGACCGCTGAAAAGCCCGACTGGTAAAAGATGAAGACAGCAGGAGACGACGGGAAATTTATGGCACATGAAACCTGTGCTGGAGCTCCCTCTTTACGTCCCTCGGTTCAAACCTTGCCCCATTAAAATTAGCCGCTATCTCTTACCACCATATAATCAACTCCATCTTCAGGAAATATTGTCCCTCCTCCCTCTCTCTCTCTCTCTCTCTCTCTCTCTCTCTCTCTCTCTCTCTCTCTCTCTCTCTCTCTCTCTCATACAGAACAGCTTCAAGTTCAAGACATTATCTGTAGTCTCTCCCTCTCTCTTCCTCACTCCTATTGTTGCTTTGGATAATTCTTCGATCCGAGAGTTGTGGCATCGATCATGGAGGGCTGCGATGTCGAGATCCCTCAGTACTTCCTCTGTCCGATATCCCTGCAGATCATGAAGGACCCCGTGACGACCGTGACCGGCATAACCTACGAGCGCGAGAGCATCGAGAAGTGGCTGTCCAAGTGCTCCGGTGGCGCAGCCACGTGCCCCGTCACCAACCAGCCGCTACCGAGGGCTTCTGGCCTCACGCCGAACCACACGCTCCTCCGGCTTATCCAGGCGTGGTGCATCAGCAATGCAAAGAACGGGGTCGACCGGATCCCAACCCCCAAGTCACCCCTCGACAAGGCTCACATCCTAAAGCTAGTGAGGGGGCTCACGGCCGAGCACTTGATCTTCAGGTCGATGAAGAAGTTGGAAGAACTCGCGAAGGAGAACGAGCGGAACAGGGCGTGCATGGTTGAGGCTGGGGTGGCTAATGCGATGGTAGGGGTCATAATAAATTGCTTCAAGCAAAGCAACACGACGTGCCTCGATGAGGCTTTGAGGATCCTCCATTCGATATGGAGCCCCACGACAGAACTCAAGAATCTCGTCAAGGAAAATTACTACTTCGTCGATTCGTTGGCATGGGTGCTACATTTCCAAACGGTCTATAACGGTGTCGAATCGAAGACTCACGCGTTGGCTATAATGAAAAAAGTGATGGAGATCGCGAACGTTAGCTTATTGGAGAGACTGAAGCTTGACCTCTTCAAGAGTTTAGTGAAGATATTGAGAGACACAAGGATGTCTCAACAAGGTATCAAATCAGCCCTACTAGTCCTCATTGATGCATGCCCTTGGGGGAGGAACCGGCTCAAGATGGTCGAGGCTGGGGTGGTCTTTGAGCTCGTGGAGCTCGAGCTTGGGAAGCCCGAGAAGCGGGTCAGTGAGCTGGCCTTCAACCTCTTGGCTCAGCTGTGCTCATGTGCCGATGGGAGAGCGCAGCTCCTGAGACACGCAGGAGGGATCGCGATGGTTGCAAAGCGAACGCTCAGGGTATCACCAGCAGTGGATGACAAGGCGGTGCAGGTCCTCGCACTCGTGTCCAAGTTCTCGGCGACGAGTGAGGTCGTGTCGGAGATGTTGAGGGTCGGCGCGGTGTCGAAGCTGTGCATGGTGTTGCAAGCGGATTGCCCGGCATACTTGAAGAGAAACGCGAGGGCGGTTCTCAGGATGCACTCCAGCGTGTGGAACAATTCTCCTTGTATTCAAGTGTATCTCCTAACAAGGTTTCCTAGGTAGGCATTAATTAGGATGCACACATGTTTTTTTCTTTTTCAGTTTATGTTTGATCTTATCATAATCTGTTTGAATTTCAATGGAAGGTCTATATACGAGACTACAAAACAAATCCCTTCTGACTTGGAACGAGTTCTATATGCAGAAATAGTCACAATTGTTGACTTGTCATCATAAACTATGTCTATCTATAGTTATGACATGTTAATATAAAGGAATCTTTGACCAAAAGAAAATAAAAAGGAATAGAATGTCCCGAATCTATTGTACTGATATCAATTCACTCATAAACCATTTCACATTGGTATCAATTCACTCCTAAACACTTTCACATTGGTACCAATTCAGTCCATCCGGCCAATTTAAGCCAAAAATCGCTAACGTAAATGACGGCCATCCTACGTGACATGGCCGGCACTGACATGGATATTTTAAATAATATTTTAAAATTTTAAAATAATGTTTTCCCTTTTTTTTTTTTCTTTTTTTCCTTTCTTTCTTTTCCTTTTCTTCCCTTTGGCCTATGGTTGGTACTCGGCCATAGCCGGCGATCGGACCGGCCATAGGTGAGGGTCTCCCTCACCAAATTCAGCGAGGGCAACCTCGCCTGTGGCCGGTCTTCGGCCATGGTTGAGTACCAACCATAGGCAAAAGGAAGAGAAGGAAAAAAAGAATTTTTTTAAAAAAATTATTAAATATTCAAATATTATTAAAAATATTCATGTCAACGCCGGCCATGTCACATAAGACGACTGGCATCCACGTTAGTGATTTTCGGTCAAAATTAGCCGGATAGATTGAATTGGTAATAACGTGAAAATGTTTAGGACTAAATTGATCCAATTGAAATGTTTAGGATAGAATTGAATCAATGCAATAGGTTTATGACTTTTCTGGTGTTTTTTCCATCATAAACTCTATCTATATAGATAGTTATGACCTGCTAATATAAAGGAACCTTAGACCATAAATATTATAAATGAATCGAATGATTAAGATAACTAGAATTCCTAGGACTAGCCTCTTTCACGTGAAATCTGGGATTTGTACTTTTCTATATTTATATAAGGAAATATAAAATCTGTGACGGTGTTTGCTTGATGGACTTAATAAGAAGCTCTGACCGGAAACCTAGTTGGTCGACCACGGCAACGAAGACTTACTCTTCAAAAGAGAGCGAGAGAGAGAGAAACAAGAAGCAAATGCAACAGATAATCGAAGATGAAAATGGCAGCAAAAATGCAAAACCGTGAACTCTCGTGCGCTTTGCTCATTTGCTTGCTAGAGATGGGAACTAATATGCGGTTGATTCACTAGGTGAGAAAGATTATTGTGCTCAAAATTGAAACTATTAATTCTAATTAAGAGATTGATTGATGAGTTTATAGTTTATGTAATTCGATTTAAGGACCCATTTTGTTTGAAAGAAAGCTATTTCCGAGAAATCATTTTTCGAATTTCCGGTGTTTAGAGAACGGAAAATCAACATATTAGGGCGTTAACATGTCCATCATTATTTGATGACATAGATTATTATATCCCGATTTGAAATGAATATGTTACTTGGATTATCCACGTAGAACTTTTCTTTGTTGTTCAGCGTTCAAAATCAATATATTGGAAGCAACATCAACAGATTTCGTTAACTTGAATTGGCAATATTGAACATCTTAATAGTCTAGGGAATAGATTAAACATATACTAATAATCTATGGATCATATTGGACAAATTAAAAGTCCAAGAATGTCATTGCACATTAGACCAAAGTTCAGGAACCATTTGTGTCATTTGTCCTAAAGCAAAAGAATGAATTGTTGATAGAAATCGTATATGGAAAATTACGAATATGTGCGCACAAATTGTGAAGGCCAAATAAGATGAACGTTTTTCTTATGGAATAATGACATATGTGTTAAATGACTACCTTAAGATTGATCATGCTTCGATTTATATCGGTTTGCAAAAAGGGTCAAATAAGACGTGATATTGCAATATCTAGCTCTAAAAAACAAGCCTATATATACGAAAAGAAATCATTTAGATTTTTTTTTGACATAGGCTGTTTGGCACACTGGAACAAAATTTGTACTCCAACATCATGTTGTTTAGTACGTTTGATTCGCTCAAGAAGTAAGCAGAACCTTTTTGGGATTGAATTTGGGTCAGAAAAGAGCACGAGCCCAACTCCTAGCCCAAAAGGCCAATGGGAACAATATTAAGACGTGAAAAGCAAGTGACGTCTCATCTAAATTCCCGACTCGTCAGTGTCTTATATCTTGTTAGAACGAAGAGCACATACACATTAAGAATGACGCGTGGAAATTGACGAACTTGGCAAAAATCGTGGAATTAACCAAGGCAGAATCTAGCTTTGATATCGTGTTCGAATTATCAACCCAAAATTTTGAGCCTATAGATAGAGGAAAACCACATGCACATAAAGAGCGAATAAACGCATAGACAAGTGAAGTGGGATACTTACAATCGATTGGGTTCACTAATATTGATTGGTGAGTGCGAGACAATACCCGTACACATCATCTTCGTATTTGACTACTCGGTAATATTATGTCATGTTCATTTTCTTCATAAACCTTTTTGGATAAATTAACGAGAATTAACTCAAAAGTTTAATAGAATTCTCGACGCATATTTATAATTTTTAGTGGGTTTTGTAGTATAATAATAAATCCCAAAGTGGCCCGTAACATTATATGTGCAAGTAAATCATATATAAAGTTAATTGTATGATTAGCTGCCTTTTCGCAATACCTTTTTTTCTTTTTGTCAGAGCCTTTCTAATACTTTAGCCCATGATATATATTAAGGGGTACTTTAGGTCAAAGCTCTCGTGCAACATGTAAAGTTTCGAGTTCCGGCAATATATCCATGCAATATCTTAGATTCCTTACCTTTTCTGAGTGGGCTTAGGTCAAACTACTAAGCATAGACAAGGCTGTTTTTGATTTTTTATGCTTTTTAAGTCACCAAGATTATATCGCCCAAAAAAATATTTCACTTATCAATTCAGGGTAGAGGGCTGTTTGAATACCCTATACATAAAATTTTATTTTATAAATTCGGGGCATGTTCAACTATCCAATTCAATTGAATCCCTAACTGAATGCACTCGATACGTCACTTGTACGTGCATTCAATAAAAATTATTCTGCGTGGAAGATGCTGCCATGTGAACATTGGATCCATCACGAATAAATCCGTCATGCATACAATAGGCTTGCACTGTGAAGAAGCGGCCAATTTGAGCCTCACGTCATCAAGAGCAAACAACCTCAAACCATGGTTTCATATTTCTCAATGCATATTTATATTTTTTAGCGGGTGTTGTAATATAATAATCAATCCCAAAGTGGCATGCAACATTATATGTGCAAGTAAATCATGGATAAAGTCAATTGTATGATGAGCTGCCCTTTTACTAACTTTATTTTTGTTAGAGCCTTTATAATGCTTTAGAACATGATATTATTAGGGGCTACTTTAATTTAAAGCTCTCGTGTAATAAATAAAGTTTCGAGTCGCGGCAATACATCTATGCAATATCCTCAACTCCTTACCTTTTTAAGTGGGCTTAGGTCAAAACTACTATGCATGGTCAAAAGGCAGCTTTTGATTTTGATGCCCTTTTTTTTCATCAAGATTATATCACCCAAAAGAAACTTTCACCTATTAATTCAGGTTAGAGCGCTGTTTGAATACCTGATGAATGCATAAAATTTTTATTTAGAGATAATGACACAAATAGTCCTTGAACTTTGGGTCAATGTGCAATGTGGTCCCTGAACTTTTAATTTGTTCAATGTGGTCCATGAACTTTAACCCAATATTTAATATGGTCTCTGAACTTTTAATTTGTTTAATGTGGTCTCTGGACTTTTGGTACATGTTTAATGTTATCCCTAAACTAAATGAAAATGTTCAATGTAGTCCTTAAATTTGAATTAATGGAAGAATTACATTGAACACTTTCTTCTAGTTCAGGGACTAAATAGAACATATACAAAAAGTTCAGGGATCACATTGAATAAATTAAAAGTTCATGGACCACTTTGCACATTAGGTTAAAGTTCAAGAACTACATTGAACAAATAAAAAGTTCAAAGACCGCATTATACGTTGGGCCAAAGTTCAGGAACTGTTTATATCATTTTCCCTTTTATTTATAATATGGAGCATATTCAATCGTTTGATTTAATTGAATCCTCGACCCAATGCACACGATATGTCACTTACATTACACGTGCATTCAATAAAATTAATCCAAGTGGTAGATGCTGCCACGTGAAGGTAGGAATTAATATGTGATTCATATGTATTATGGAGTCTTTCTGTAATTTTGTTTTTATTATGTACCTTGACTATAATTAATCACTATTATAAGTACATATCGTACAACCTACCACATTGGGCAAGCCACCATAAATGTTTTGTTGCTATTCTTTCTGCCTCTTTCGCTACTTTCTCTATGACTCTGAATTTCAACATGTTATCTTAGCATAAAAAAACACATCAAATTCTTTAACATGCCTACCTCAAATCAACACTTAATTTGCTTCCATTGCTATCTCAACAATATCCTATGCGTCTTCAATTTCTTCTTCTCTTCCATCTTTTTACCAATCATCATTAATCTCAATTTCCCATCACCTCTCAATAACATTATGCCCACTTTCACATCTTCTTCCATTTTCTCTGCTGCTCCAATTTCTATTCCCATTCAAATTACGGCTGTGCAATCAACCTCGTCGTCTTTTGTTCTTCCAAACATCACAAGTCTCGTTTCCATCAAGCATGATGCAGACAATCATCTTGTGTGGAAATCTCAATTTAAGCCTATTCTAATATGCAATGCTATGCTGAGCCATGTGGATGGATCTTTTCTGTATCCGCCGATTGTCACTGATCAAAATGGCATTGTGGTGGTCAATCCCTCCTATTCCGCCTGAGTCAAGATAGATCAATGCATTCGGATTTTGATCAA